AATTTCAGGATTTTCTTGCTATTATAATAATATCTAATAAGTGAATAAGGAGCTGAGGTTTTGCACTCAGATTAACAATAGATAGCTTATTTTTTTAATTAACATGTGATATTGAAAGTAATCTTCAAAAGACAGGATCTTGCATTATTTCTCAATACAGGTAGTCCCCAGTTTAAGAACGAGTTTCGTTCCCAAGGCTTGTCCTTAAGTCAAATTTGCATGTAAGCCAGAACAGTATTATTGTGTAATACTTTCTAAGTAGTAGTGTGTAACGAACTCAAACCATTGTGCGTTTAACTCTAATTTTGCTACAATAGGCTCCGTTCTTAACTATGGTTTGTCTGTAACCTGGGCGTTCTTAACCCCAGGACTACCTGGGATATCGCTGGCATATATAATTAAAGAAATGTCCCCAGAATCAGAAAGAGCAAATTATTGCAAGGTGAAGTCCAAGTGCAACCAGGATGGCATGGAAACAAGGACATCTGAAACAAGCTTTCAGAACAGAGGCTGTTGTTGAGACAAGCAAGCATGTGACCTTGATTCCATACAGAACCTTCATCTAAGGTTGGGACAAACGCAGACAGCACAAGCTTTATTTTAACCTTCATCTCAGGATGGGACAAACACACACACCCTGGCAACCTCTTTCTTTCTGCCATGTCCCCATAGCATCGTCTTCATCTCATCCCTGACCCATCCAAGAAGTATCTTGACATCATCTTGGTCATGTTGGTGATGTTTCCCCCTTCATCCAGCAGAACCTGCGGCTGTTCAGGTGTGTGAAATCTAGCAAACTTTGCTGAACATCTTGCCAGTGCAGGTGGCCTTTAGTGGGAGGATCAGAGTGTTTCTGGTGGTCAGTTCAGGCTTCTGTGGCCATCCCCCCTCTCCTCCAGACCCCAACCATCCTCTACTGGCTAAAGGACATGTGGAGGGTCCTGACCCCAAGACAAACTTGAACAGTGATAAACCATTTTTTAAAAATTTCTTAGTCTTGAATTGGGTGCCCCACTGGCACCAGAGATTGGTTTCATCCTACAAAACATTTTAGAAGGGGAACATAGGGTGACTTCTTCAGAACAGGTTTTGTGCTTCTCGGTTCAAAACATCCCCCATTGCCCGGATTTTCTCTTAGGGGGCACAATTGCAAATCAGCCGTTTATTACAAGCTCTGAAAGCAGTCTGTTTGCTTTTTAACGGTTTTCATGTGACCCGTAGTATATGAATATCATGGGACGCAAATTTTCTTCCCAATCTTTAAAAAAAAAAAAAAAGACCTTCTCCCCATTCTAATTTTTCTCCTGCAGGACAAGGAATATCAGCCTGACCAATGCAAATGTCTGCATCAGCTTTGTGAATTGAGCCCTTACCCCTCTCCCCTCTCCCCAGAGGAGGTTAAGGTGAACTAGCATGATACATAATCTCTAACCTCTGGAAACACTAGCTTGGGTTGGGCTCTTTCTGCTGTATGTGACCTTAAGTAAGTAAACACTTTGGAATGGAGACGTCCTTCTGGAATGTGACTTCTGTCCCTCGTGACCCAAGCTGAAGACAGCCGTAGACTGTAACATTTTTGTTTTACTGTCTATTATACCTAACATCCAATGTGTGGATCAAGCTTTGAGGTGAATCTGCACGAAGCCATTCTGTCACTGTAACGCTGTTATTTTCTGTCTCATTTTTACTGCTTTTATGAATTTGGACAAGTGGGTCTCCCGTTTGCTTCTAGGTTTGGTGTATTCTAGTGTTGTGGTATCAGCAGTGTGACGGGCAGGATGTTCCTGCAGAAGATATATGGTCCTTATATAAACTGGAAAAATCAAGTTGGGAACTTTACATCAGCTTTGAAAAACTCTCCAAGAGACTGTGAAACTGACTAGACCAGGTTCTCAAGAGAACATATTGTGAAACTGACCAGTGCAGTGTTTCTCAACCTTTAGTGCTCTAGTCAGTTTCACAATATGTTCTCTTGAGAACCTGGTCTAGTTAGTTTCACAGTCTCTTGGGCAGTTTTTCCACACATTTTAAAGGGAGGTTGAGAAACACTGCCCTTTAGAAACTATTTATCTACATATTTGTTATACTGCCCTAATGGGCCAACTCCATCAACAAAAAACCATAAGCAATCCATAATGGAAACTCACCCTCCTCAAACCAGCATAAGATAGTTACAAAATGGTTTCTCCAGTTCAAACCAAATGTCCACTTAAAGGAGGGTGTCTTTCAGGGCATCCCTAAATACTCCTGGGCCGCGTCTTTTGCATCTCTCTCAGTGATGTGACCTTGAACAAGCTCTTCCTTGATGGTCTCCTAGGGCACCCAGAATCATCTGGGGTCAATTTGATTTATATAAATATGAATTGTCCCTATTTTGGGATCCTCACAAGAAGTCCTTCCCTTGGTCATTCTAGCCTCTTGAGACACTTCCCAATGGGTGGTGAGCTTCTTTTACAAACACACACAAGTGTTGGAAATCAGATCAGTTTGCCTAATGCTGTTTTTCTTCTGAGGATGGTTTGGTCATCACTGGCCTTAAATTCCTTGGGTACCTTCAGAGAGATGGCTAACAGACCTACCTCCTTTTCATTTTCAGGGATCAAAACAGGGTCTCGGTCACCCAGCTAATGTAGAAGGCCACCTTGTTTTCAAGTGAAGACAACCACTGAGTATGTCATGACAACATAGGGAGACGTTGGTTCCTATCACTTGATACCACCAAAGGTGACTGGTGCCAGTTTTGCAGTTTCACACTAGGGTTCTCCTCTTCATTCCCAGCCCTACCTGGACATGTCAAAATGTTAACTTAGGACTTTCTGCATACCTAGCAAAGACTTTGCCATTAGGCTTCAGCCTCCAGGCAGGTGGATGTCAACTCCCAGAATTCCAGAGCCAGAATGACTACAGATGAGAATTCTGGGCGTTGGTCCACACATTTGGAAGTTGCTGAGGTTGAGAAGTGCTGTGTCTAGAACAGTGGTCTTCCCCTTTTTGGACTGCATGTCCCTATCACTAAAAAAGTTGAGTGTACACCCCAATATATATTTATTTATAAATTATATCCATGTACTACTGTACTAATATATTATGTACATTATAAAACATACTGCAGGCAGCAGGCAGGAAGGAAAAATTGGGATATTCTGCAGTATTAATACCTTTCCTGTTTTGAATAAAAAACAAATAGGCATTCAAATGCTTTCTTCCTGCGCCTCAATGGACACCCCTGAGGTACATGCTCCCCCCACCCCTTTGAAGACCACTGTTCTAGAGAGAGGGTGGAGGAGAATTAAGGAAAAAAACCTAACTTTTTTCGTAACACGGCAGTCAAGATAAGTCAAGACAGATCTTCCATCCACTCACAACGATTGCAGAAGAAATAAGATGTTTCGTGTGGGTGTGTATCGCAGTGTTGCAATATCAGCAGGCTACAGGTCAAGACAAAATGTGATCTTCCCAACACAACATCAGAAATACCCCAGAAATAAAATCCACTTCTTTTTAATGAGTATTCCATTAAGAACCATACTCCCAGAACAACAGCATGGCCCTGGACAGCTGGCAAGATGGGCTTTGGGAGAGGCCAGGCACGGCTTTCCGGCTTGAGCAAAGTCTTGGCAAGTTGGAAAGTTGGTTTGCCTCCTCTCAAGCCCACCAAGATTTAAACCTGGGATGCACAGACTGAAAACAGTCATCCCTCCAGAAAGAAAGGCAACCGGTTGGCCGAGGTAGCAGATCCCGTGTCCGGAAATGGGAGAGGCCACGTCAGGGTTCGTACATGACTTTGTGATCACAACAGTCCCAGTTGATCAGCTCGTTGCTGCGGAACCAAAGGCTTATTTCTCTTTGGGCTGTCTCCACCGAGTCGCTGGCATGGACGACATTCCTATTTCCAAGAAAAATGTGCCACTAAACATCCAGTTTGGTGGGATGGCACCATGTCTGACTTCAAAAAGCTAAGGAGGGTTGGACCTGGTCAGTATTGGATGGGACACCAAGAAACCTACCTGGATGCAGACATGTAGACCCCAAGAGTTGAGCTCAACTTGAAGGAAACTCTACCTTTTTCAGGTTAGCTTCTGAAAGTTTCAGTAGGTGTAGAAAATTACAGAGATGACCATGGAGTGGGTATCCAGAGACAGCAAAACATGCTGAAAGGGTAGACAGGATGAGAAAGAAACTAAAGATTGCCCCGACTTGACTCTCTTTGGTATAAGAAGGAAGGAAGGGAAAATGCTAAGCTTTCAAGATTGACATCAGCCCTTCAGGGTAGGCCAGGTCAGGAAACAATCTCCACAAGAAATACTGGAACTTTAATTTACTGATATAGGCTGCTGTAGCAGAATCTTAAAAGCCTGGCCGTGTTTCTCCTTCCTTCCCTCTCATACCAAAGAGAGTCAAGAAGGAGCAACCTTCAGTTTCTTTTTCACGCCTTCTTCCCTTCCCGGGGTTAATTTATATTTTGCTAATGGCCTTTGCTGCCTTCTCCAAGATCACCTCTGTGGTCTCTACAGCAGGAGCACTATCCGTCCAATCTTCTCTAAAATCTTGGTGTTTGCTGAGCTGGCTTTTCTTCTTGCAAATGCTTCATTACCAAACTAGGTAACGTGGCCAAGGGTTTGACTCAAGGGAGTAGGGTTTGAAGGCTTCATACCCCTGGCAACTTGCCCTACCTTTCTCGGTTAGGGCTGCTGGGGCTTGTGTGCCTGTTTCTGATTCGTTGGTTGGCTGTAGGGTTTCCTCTTACATTATTCTTGTCAACTGGGTTGGTTCTTGTTTATCTACGTGTCAACTGCTGGGTGGATGAAAAGGGAGAAGGTGCCCCAGGACTCACACCCTAAACAGGGTTGCACCTGGCTAATCCTTGGATAGGAAATCACTAGGAAATCCCATGCTGAAAAACATCCCAGAAGAAGCTTCTTCCCTACAGGTAGTCCTCATTTAATGACCATTTGTTTAACAATGGTCTGGAGTTACGACAGCCTTGGGGAAAAGTGCTTTACGACCTCCGCAGTCATGTGATTGTGATTTGTGACCTTTTTTTTTACTATGGTTGTTAAGTGAATCACTGAGGTCATTAAGCAAATTCTGGCAAAAAATGTCCACTGAAGAAGCTAGATTTATTTAACAAACATGTGATTTGCTTAATGACCATCGTAAAAAAGGTCGTAAAATCAGCTCCAATTTGCTTAATGATCAAATCACTTAGCGACCTAAATTCCGGTCCCTATTGTGGTTGGATAGTGAGGACCGCCTGTACTGCTACCAAGCAAATACACAGATGGCAATGTATCCATGAAGTCACCAGGGGTTTTGCTCAGCTCCAAGCAGCCTGATTTTTAGAATCTCATCATCCACATAGCTCTCCCTTTACCCATAAATCCAGTTTAACTGGCATGGCCCAATGCCCCAAACATCCTGAGAAGTGGAGTGGCATGAGAGTCTCATACTGTCTTCAGATTTCCTCTCAAGAACTACACATCCCAGGATTCCTTGGGAAGAAAGAGATTGGCATCGGAATACATCCTCCTAAGTGGCTTGAAGAAATAGCATGACTTGCCCTCCAAATCTTGAATTGTTCTCAAGTATGGCCAAATGACAATCAAGCTTTTCAGCTTGGGTATCCAGATACGCTGAGTTCACACATTGCAACAGGCCATGATAAACCTCACAATTGGCTGGAGGCCCACAACACATGATGTAGGGTTCCCAGCCTGCATCTTCTGACAGCCTTTCCAAAAATTACAATGCCATTGCATGACCGAAGGAGAAAACTAATTCCTCGGGGGGGGGGGGGGCAATCGCATTTAATGCCTTTTAGTTTCATTTTGATACATCTTAAATAAAAACTAAAATCCAAGATCCTGTTTGATTGTATGCATTGGGTGAACCCAGTTTAAGGACTGCTTTATGGCCAGAGCGGGCAACCTGAAGCTGCTTCTCTCCCCTTTCTGCAGCTTCTCCAACATCTGCGAAAAAATGGGAGGAATAGCATCTTGTCCTTTGGAGGGGGAATCATATAAACAACATTGCAAAAGCCCTAACGCAGGCTAAAGCCTAAGAAAAACCAAGAAGAGAAAGAAAACTTCAGCTCCACCCATCCATGGATGGCGTTGCTCACACCTTTTTGCATCAGTGTCTTCATGGGCCTTTGCCCCTTTAATAAAAAAGGTTAGGGTGGAACCCAGCTGAAGAAACATTACCGGTCTAGATTATTCAGGGGCGTACTATGCTAAATGATGAATCGGGCCTTTGCTTGCAAGATCTCAGGAGAAGAAAACCATTCTCTGCAACCACAATGGATCTCTACCGGCTAGAGAATCTTGTCTGCATTTAAATGAAGAACGTGCTTTGGATCCGAAGCTGAAAAAGTAGTTTGGAGCAAGCCTGGATTTCTGCTTCAGGTACAAAGCACAGCATGATTTCTAATCTGAACACAGAAGTCCCAAATCAAGATTTTTTATCTCTCGATCGCTGCCCTTCTTGTACCTGCTAACATGGATGCTAAAGTCACCCCGAACCGTGCCTGGCTTGGCTTCGGCTGGGTTCGTCTCTCCCACCATGGCCCTGGAAGTCTTGACAACGTTGTAACCTTCCCAAACCTGCAAGGCATAGGGGGGAAAAAAGGGTAAAGCTATGAAATTTGAACTAAAATCAGAAAGAGAAACAACATTGCTGGGTTGAATCTAAGCTGCAGAGAGTACGCAACGTTTATAATCTATTTTGTGTCATGTCTATTGATTTGCTTCCTTAAATTTATTACAGCCATCCACTCCAACAGACTCTGCTCTATCTGAGTCTGGATTCACACAATACACTAAACCCAGGTTAACAACAGCTGGGTTCACGTAACATGCATAGGTCAAATAATCCACATAATGGCATAAGATGACGACTTGGTTCATATAAGATGCTAAGACAAGTTCCCCCTGTGCAGTAAGCCACAATCTACCCAGCTCCATTTTTGCCTAGTCTGCGAGAACACCTAGTTGTGAGAATGAGGATATTTGGAAACAGACATGATTTTGGATCTCTTTAACCCAGACACTGCAATACTATATCATAGG